GTTGAGGGCGATATGCTGACTCTGTAAACCGCTTAGAGAGGGCTGAAAGCCCTATGAAGCGGTATATAAGTCTAACTGCTATTGCTATTGCTATAATGGAGTAAATAAGTGGAGCAATAGAAAAATACATCTGTTATGTTCACTTAACAAAATAACTTTAATTGTCCAAGGCGGCCTCATAAAAAGTGAACAAGAGTTGGCGCTTTAACTAAAATATTTATAGTATGTCTTATTTTGCTGTTTCATACATATGCTGTAATTTAGCTCATTCATTTATTTGGATTAACATATGTTAATGCTATTTGAACCAATTAAGTATGATTAAATGGATGGCATCTCTTATAAGATGGTAATAATGAATGGAAGTGGTAAAAAAAATTTTAGGAAACAACATCTTAGGTACAGTATACAGTATATGCATATAATATACAACCAAAACAGCACTGAAGCATTATTCCAACAGAAGCAATACTTGTCTTGATACCCAATAAAAACAGAACCAATTCTCAGCTTTAAAGCTTAACTGTACTATTTATTGTACATAAATTCAGCCAGTCTGCATTCTTGGTAAGATACATGCAATGAAGCACCGTTAGAAAAGATCTCTTCAGGGAGGCTGTTGATTCCAGAAGTGATGTGTTTATTGCTTCCATAAACTGAATGAGGCCATTGGTCAAGCCAAGCAGGAACTGTCCATTCCAATACCTTTAATCATTCAAGACTGTTGGTGACCATTCAGTATAGCTACTTGCAAGAATGCTAGGATTATGTTGACGCTCCTTCCCTGAATATAAGTGTAAACAGTTAAGAAAATTGCTCCCTGGTGAATGCTTAATGCTTGTTTTTAACTTATGTTCTCATGTTGTGTGTTCCTAGATATTCCATTGACCACAATACAGAAGACAGATACTTCACTATTGATGCAAACACTGGAACCATTAAGACTGCCAAGGTCTTTGACAGAGAAGAAACTCCTTGGTACAATATCACAGTCGCTGCTTCTGAAATTGGTACGTAATAAGCCCACAGAGTTTATAGTCCATAGGACTTGTTTTCAAGCAAATAGGTCTTCAGAAAGATATACATTGATGGAGAGGGAGAAAATATTTAGTAATTTGGAAGGGAACACGGCATTATCCTCTTTCAGCTGCTCATAATACCTATCAATCTTTGCAGCTGAATAACATGTCAAAGCTACTTTAGTTGTCTAAAATGTACAGTTGTTTTTTTTTATACAATGTTCAAATACTTACATAATGTTAAGCAAATACTTTGTGAGCCTTGGTTCAAGCCCATGTTAGAGTACATATGAATGCTATGTTGTAATAAACTAAATTCATAATGATTTTGCTATGATTTTTTCCTGTTTTTAACTGGAATGCAATTGTGTTTGAGTAAAAGGCTTTCCAGATAAATCCTGTAAGATTCCAGAGGGAAATAAAGTCCCCAGGAAAAGATGAATGGTGTACATCAAAATGTCTGTTTCCAATAACTTTACAAAAAAAAAAAAAAGATATATTCAAGAATTCTGAATATCAAACAACTGCTCACATTCTATTTGGATTCTTAAATGAGCACACGTCAAATAGACACAAACTGGAATTAAAAAAGATCTGGCAATCACCATATTTTGTTTAATAGTATATTTTAATAGGTTTTTTAAAGGACATTTTGTTCACATTGCCCAAGGCAGAATTCTTTATTAGGTTGAAGTTTATTACTATCAGACTCAGACAAATAAAATCTTATTAATGTAATATCTTACCCCAAGTTAATTACCAAGTAATAATCTAAATCAGGATAATTGATAGGAGGAAGTAGAAGCGTTAAGCATGTTTGCCAACTTGGGTCGAATATATATGCAAACTTTGAACTTTGCCAACGATAAACTACATCTAAGGTTTTATAGAACATAATGAACAAAAAGTGAATTATTCAGTGTCAAAAATAGCCCACTATTAAGAATATTTTATTATTTTTATTTCTTATTATTGTGTTGCTTTATAGCAGCACTTGGAATCCCAGCTGAATAGATATGATTCTTTCTTCTAAAACAACATTTAGCTATCTGGTAGAACCATACACATAAAGGGTTTCAGTTAAAAAAAATATATTAATTTATGCATGAGGTTATACATTCCTGCAAACATCATCCTGAATTCTAGTGCAGAAAAGTGTTTGTTTAGTAGTAGAACAGAAGAGACCCAGGTTTATTTAATAGATGAGATTCCTAGCTTGTTTCCAATCTAGACACTAATCACACTCAACCAGCTTTTATTTTGTAAGAATGTATTGGAAACCAATGGATTCTTTTGATCAGATTATGATCAGATTATAGTTTAGTTAATGTACCATACTAAATAATAACTTGGCTAGCTATTAAATATTAAATAAAGTATACATGGTTAGGATCACATAATGCAGTAAACAATCTACACATTTAAAAAGTAACAAGTAACATTCTGCAGTACAATAATATCACTAGACTCTTGATTTTTTTCAATAGAATAACACAATTCTCCTCCTACTATGACTTTAATAAAAAGGCCCATTTTTCAACCTTTCTTAATGACAGTTTTGTAAATATCCAGATATTCAACCCATTTTACATAACCCCCTTTACATATAGCAGGAAGCTATATGCATATATTTGTGAATGATGCCTTTGATAGAAAGGTGGGTGAAGTTTGCCTCAAGTCATAATGCCACAAGAATGCATTCTCTAGTTGTTTCCTTTAAATTGAGATGTTTAATATGCAGTTAAGAGGCTGAATATGTTTTTTTGTTGTTGATGAAACAGTCAGCTCTCAAGCTCTCATAAGCATCTGTGTCTTGAGTGAGCACACCAATCCCAGAGACCAATAAATGCAGTCTGTAAAATTATACAGGTACTGATTGCAGGTTACAATTCAATTCCTGTATTCATTTCCGGCACAAATTGTTCAGAGACATCCATCAAAAAGCACACAGATTTCTCATTGGAGTTAAACACGGAGGCAACTACCTCTTTATTAGGGCTTCTAAGTATATGCTTTATTGCTACCCTAGTTTAAGGAGGTGCAGACTCAAATTATTGTAGATTAGAAAAGAGAGACCGATCATAGAAAATTCACCTAGAGTGACAAAGTTATTGGACATTGCTCACTAATCTTCATGAATCAAGTTTCCATTTTTATATAATTTGATACTACTTCAATGATAGTTTGCCACTGGAGGGCCACAGGAATACCCATTTGTCCTTAAGGCACCTGTGGTTCCCACCCGATCTTCCAATGTTCATCCATGCATCGTTCAGATGAGCACGTCATCACTCTTTAAAACACTTTTTTTATTACTTAGTTATTACTCAGTTATAAGAAAAAACTCAAATAAGAAAAAAAAAATAATGATCATGCTTAGTATCCTGAAATTCCTACCCCATTATTCAAGAAGTATAAGTAATTGCCCCAAGGGCAGGTGTGAGAGGACAGGACAGCCAATCAGGACACTTGTTGATATTAGAATTGATTGAATACTTTCAGTCTACTTTCCAGAAATCCCTCCTTCCAGGACCTGATTGATTCTAGNCATTAGAAACAAATAAAACTAAAGCAAACTAAACTGATTGAATCCACCCAGATTTATATTATCCATTGTTTTCAAATCAGTTAAATGAATGCCAATAACTGGCCTTTGAGATTAAATACTATCAAGGCAGAGTTTTAAATGATTTCTTCAACAACGTGTTCTTCATCGCTGTCTATTATACATCCTATGTCTCTTGAGAAACATGATTTGCCATGCTTTGCAATTGTGTCTTGGAAATGTTCTTAACCTTTCTTACTCTGTAATAAATCTTCAGAATCTCCATCTAAGAGCCAATTTCTGAATGCCATGAAGCTTGGCCAGAGTTGGCTAATGATCTCATGTTCATCATGCCACAGTCAGAGGTTCAGTGAAAAGTCACACAGAAATGTCTATTTTCCCCCCAGATAACAGAAGAGGTACTATTGATTTCGGTTCATTGTCCAGAAAATGGACAGCTTGTGTCTGTAAAAGAGGAACAGAAAGCATAATTATTGAAACTATTCTTAAGTCATTGAAGAACCATATTTGGTTTATGGAAAAAAAAACACCTATACATACAAAGGCATTTTGACTTTCCAATATTATATTCTTAACATATCCATAAGTAGATTGCTTAGAACATGTTACGTTTGTGTGTGCATGTGTGCGCGCATGCTTGCATGTGTGTGCATATTAGTACTATATTAATCAAGTCAACTCCAAAATTTTCTAGATTCCTTCTAGCAAGATTATTAAATTGAAGCTTTTATTGCCTGAAATGAGTACAGTAAGTAGTAGTATACACTGTACTATGTCTGACTTTGCAGAAATGTATGAGAAGTGGAAATAATAGTTAAAACGAAAGATAAATCATGATGGCTGTTAAAACAATTTGAATGTTTTCAAAGCCATAGTCCCATAATATAAATGCCTCTCTGCTGGATGGCTGTAATTGTTTCCGTTGTTAACAGTAACCTTCAGTGGAGAATAATTTGAAAGATAATGCTTACCCATCTCTTCTGAAAGCTTACTCATTTTGTTTCTCCTGTTTATTTCAAGGCCCTTGCTTTCATTAATAAAAGATCTCATTTATTAGGTTCTAGGATTCATTGGTTTAGTCATCCTTGATCATAATGCCATTTTTGACGATGGAAGTTGTGGGATACAACCAGGGGTGGGTTCCTGCCAGTTCTAACCTCTTCTATAGAAGAGGTTNTTGTAAAATGGGGCAAAACTCACTTAACAAATGTCTCATTTAACAACATAAATTTTGGTCTCAATTGTGGTTGTAAGTCAAGGACTATCTGCATTTGATTAGGTTGCCAAGGTTTTAATTGAGTCTCATCCTATGTTTAGAATAGCAGTAGAAAGAAACCACACATTTTATTCTTTGTCTCATCCTAGAGGGGGGGAAAGCATGTTAATTTCAGACTATTTTTCAAGAAAGTATTACAGAAAGGCAATCCAATCAAAAAATACACTCTGCCTTCAACATAGTATGTGAACATGAATTTTCCAAAGGATTAGTCATTTCAACTATTAATCAAAAGTATAAATTTTGTTTTTGTTTTTTAAGTGGTTCTTTTATTGTATTTTTGTATTTTATATATTTCTGTCATTTTTTTAAAAAAATGATACATTTCTGTTTATTCGGGAAATATCCAAATATCTTTTGCATATTCATACAGACTAATGCATGACAAGAGATAGCAATTTACTATAGGAATTATGGCAAAACGCCATTACAGTTAATTATGGTCCTGTTACATTCCGTTTTTAAAATTTAAAATAACCCACCACTGTCTCACATATAAGTCATATAATACCATAATGGGATTAGGGAAGATTCACTCTTAAAAAAATCTTCTTCTCTCTTTTTTCTCTGCATGACATTAACAATCTATAATCTTCATTTGTTAATTAAAACAAATGAAAAATGTGTTGAAGAACCACAGCGTTTTACATTGAGAAGTAAACATTTTTCACTGTAAACAAAAATGTGATTTTATATTTCTATTCCCTTACAGTCTATAGGCATTATAATTTTCATAATGGACAGTTACAGATGTTTTCCTAGCTAACCTGGATTCTGGGTAGAATTTAGACATATGTATGTCATCACCATTGTCATGTCCCTCTTTAAATAAGAAAACACTTGTTGGTATCTCCTGATAGTTTAGGAGGACTGTCAACAGATTACAGTGGTATTAACAAGGTAATACCCTGCTGAAAGCAGACAGATGCAGCAGAAAAGAGGGTTTCTGTTTTGAGATACACAGAGAGAGAGACACACACACAAAACACTATACAAATACAGATAGGGCTTAGTAATTAAAAAGTGACACATTTTTATTCTTTACATGTAGTCCTTGATTTACTGGACATGGTGGCTCAAGATGCCACCGTGGCTAAGATGCTGAGTTTGTCGATCAGAAAGGTCAGCAGTTCGGTGGTTCGAATCCCT